GAGTTGGATTGATTCTATTCAACACCAAATCACTTGTCCCTATTCATTTGAATGACAGCTTATCCAAGTACTGATTGTCTTGAAGTTATGATGCTGATATATGATTGTTAAGGGATGATGTGTTAGGAGAGTTGTTGAAAATTGAAAATTTGGGAGGAAGTACTTCCGTGGTCACAGGCATTGGATCAGCAATTGAAGAGATGAACGCTGCCAGACGCAAGAACGCACGGTATGATGTTTGATAAGAGCTACTACTAGTACATCCCTCCTTTCTCAGACAAGTTGTTATCTTAGTCAGTGACGGAAACAGTCAGGACCTTTGGGAAGACGTTGTAGCAACATCAACCAAGCTTCAACAAACAGTTAACGCCAGCTATGCAGTTACAGTATCAAAAGATTATAAAATTAGGTTTATATCCTATGTTATCACCCCTTTACCAATATCGCTTTGAAGAGAGCTGGAACTATATGCTGGGGACAAACTTCATGTCTACATCGAAGCTCGAAGCCGACAGTTCATTGATGAAATGGAAACGATACTGACTACATGTCCAACAACCTTAGAGGTCTGAATGTATCTTATCTATACTTAATTTACATATATTTTTATAGATTAATGATATGAGTGATGTGATCACAACAGCAACATGTAACCAACCTGTCGATCTTATCTTTGCCATTGACAGAACTGTCGATGAAGCCACTTTCTATCGTTTGAGGCAGTATGCGATTGATCTAGTGAAATCATTGCCATCATATCTATTCCTGGTCAGTTCATTTGATCATTTTTTTAACCAAATGATTCTAGAGACGGCTATCATCAGCTATAATCGTGAGCGGTCAAACGAATGAATTGAAACTTGCTTTATCATCAGTTCCATCAGTATCAACTAAGCGAGATCTTCTGTTTGAACTAGAACGTCTTCAACATAAACAATTGCCAGAATCGTCATTAGTACTCTCCCAGCTGTTTGATGATGCTTCAAAGGTAAAGAGCGAATCGTTCTCATTTCAACATCTAATACCGTTTAGGAGTTTCATGCACATGGTCGTAATGAATCACGTGGTGTTGTTGTTTTCTTATCAAGTGGTAGTTGGTCAGATTCAAACAAGGATGTAGAAGTGAGAATACTGTATGGACAATCATCAGGAATAAAACTATTCTTTACAGAAATCGTTACATGAGCTGACTCAAATTTCTGATTTGTTAGTTCTAAGCTTGGGTGATGATGCCAGAGTTCGACCACAACTTCGTCCACTTGTAGCTATTGATGAGGATCTGTTTACTGGCCAAGATTTGGATCGTTTTGCACCTGTGAGCCTCCTCATTATGAATGATAGGATGTATTTCTTATAAATAGGATGTAACTCAATTCATTGGTGAATGTGTGACGAAGCTACATGCAGCCAAGAGTGTCAGTCAGACAGAACGTCTTCAGGAGATAGGATTGCAACATCTGATTGATTTCGCTGTAGCTGAGAACTTTAAGTAAATTGAATAGTTTGTGTAAACGAGTGATAGTAACCCACTGTTTCAGATGTAAATACCATAAGATTGATTTGCAAATCATACTCGATGCATCAAGTTCTCGTGAAGAAGTAAAAGAATTTAGTTTTTTCATTCAATTCATGAAATATTAATCACAGGTTTTTGAACATCAACGAGAACTTGCTTTGTCGCTTGTCGAACGATTACCGATTTCAACGGAAGGTACACATGTTGCTATAGGAATCAACAGTTTCACATCTGTGCCGGTGCTTCGTCAGAATCTTGGATTAGGAAGAGATAAGAAGGTATTGAATCGTCTGGTAGAATGAGATGTAGAACATCAATTTGTTTTAGATAGTAAGAGATGTATTAGAGAATATTAATTATCATGGTGGATCTACACTCACAGCTGAAGCTGTTGAATTGAGTATTAAGGATCTGGAGAGAGGACGTAGATCAGATGCTAAACAAGTATGTAAATGTTGATTATCTTCTATTATTATTCATATTGAAGGTTGTGGTGTTGATGAACGATGGTATATCTCAAGATCAATGGGATGATGTTGTTAAAGCTGGAAAGCATCTACAAGAAACAGGAGCAGAGATCTTCGGTGTTGCTTTAGGTGAAATGGTCAGTCATTATCATTATCTCTATGAAGTATCATGTGATGTTTAGATTGATTTGAGAGAATTGTATCAATACGTTCCAAATAAGGAAAGAATCTACCGTGACGGTAGTACTGAAAGGTTTGTTTAATGATTTTCGAAAAAGAGAACTGGGTGAATTGAATGATTTATTTGATTATATGGAGAGTTAAGCAAGTTCTTAAAGTGATGTTTGTGGCTTCAGCCTCATGAGATTCTCTTGATGATGATGAGTGTTTGATATATTTGTACATGAATAAGCTTTCCCAACATGAGAGAAAGAATTGCATCAGCTTATTAAGTAAGGTTGATGGAGAATCAAAGTATCGAATGTTGATGCTGCGAATGAGTCGTATGAGTTAACCGAGAATACGGTTGTATGGTGGGCTGTAGAAGAAGGATGGAGAAGAAGCGATTGGTACTGGATCAGCCATGATAGAGTTGAGTGAAGTAGCTGCATCACCTCCTGTAAATGAGTTTCATTGTTAATGAGAATTACATAGATGTCTCTGTACCTGCTAAAGGGCTAGGAGCATATGCTCCAGTTAAGTATGGATAAGAGCTTGCAACAGCATAATACTGAGCAGTAGCGATTGTAGCAACTATGGCTAAGAGGAAAAAGAGACGGAACATTGTATTCTGAAATGAATAAGCTTAAACAACTCATACGTGAGCGTGAATGATAATCTATTGGAGAATGAGACGAGGTGATGAGAGTAAAAAAATGCTTTTGAAAAGGAACTGCGATTCATTTGTTGCAATTCAATTGCACTTGTGTCGAATGGGAAATCATTGGCATTATATATAGATGAGGTGAGCCGGTTGACGTACGTGAATTCTTATTTGCTGTTAACGTCATCACTGATGGTATAGTAAATGTCCAAATGTGTTTATATAGAGAGAACAAGAAAGTCAGTAAGCGAAGGGGAGGAGTTCAGGCTGGTATGATACCAAAGAAGTTTTTTGCCTTTGTGTGAAATAAGAGGAAGATGCAATAGGGTTTGGGTATAATGGAAATGTCGGCGAGTTGAAAATGCCGAAGGCTGGAACCTGTCGTAGTTCTGAAGCAAAGCTTGCTCTGTCGCAACCTTCTGTCGTATCTGATTCTTAAGTACACCGCATTGTAAGCATGAACCATATTCTACGTACGTCAGAATTGGTCTGTTTTGTTTCTCAGTGATCGTGCGTATGATCGAACGAAAAAAAATGTCGTACTTGACTAGATAAGCAGACATCATTAAAAGTAGGAAAAAGAAAAAAAAAGAAAAAAAAGAGAGAGAGAGAGAGAAAGAGAGAGAGAATGATTAGAAGAAGCGAAGCAAACAGACTTGACATTTTTCATGACGCTGTCTTCATCATGAGTTTACGGTGTAGCGTTAATCTCATTCGACGTACCGTCAATGTAGTTCTTATTTTTGTTCTTCAGATGACAGCAAGTCATATGTATAGAGTGTAGAAGGAATATTATAGGAGTAAGGAAAAGATGGTTGATGATTGAGTATTTGAGCTCCATGAAGTGCGACCACTAGATAGTATAAACATCAGTAATGAAACAAAATTATTAATTACGTTCGCGTTCTTTATACTCTGACATAGAGTAAGATGTCTAACATCTATGATAGTACGGTATGATCAACCAATTAAAGATCACTATGATAGATTTCGATGAAGTTACAACTGGGGTGAGAAGTGTTTACGTACGTTTTTAGAAAGTCACAAATGATCGATTAGGTAATAATAGAATGATTGTGGAATAAGTGATCTACAAGTGTGTGTGTCTGTGTGTGTAGGTCTGTCTGTTTGTGTGAAGGTGACGTTGCTAGAGGTAGTTTAATAATAAATGGAAAAGTTGAATTCTGATGACGTTCCGATGAGATGCAGTTGTCGCAAACAGCACTCCACGACTTATGCTTTTTACAGATGAAAATTTGAATAAACATGCTTCTTTTTTCAGATTTTTATCTGACGTCGTACAACTTCTGAAGGTCGATAAGAATTGTGAAGAAGATGAAAGTCAATTCAGTCGATCTCGTCATCATCTAGATGACCAGAGCGGATGCTCGGTCAATCCAACACTTGATCTGTTGTTCCTGTTCGATAACACAGACAAATCAAATGACATGAAAGATCCAAGTGTAAATTCAAATCGTTATCTTCTGTTGGATATATTGGGTTAGTTATAAGATTCATGAAAAGCTATCAATGACAATCATATTGAAGGATCACTTGTTAATGAGACACATGTTAGAGTATCAGTGCTTTCATTCGGGGAGCAGCCAACAGTCGTCTTGCCCTTCACAACCATATCCAAACGTGAACGTATTTTCTCAAATGTGAGTTATACACATTCCTATTTGAATATTCATTTATTGATTATATTATAGATTGAATCTATTCAATCCAAAACAGGTAATGCATCATATGCTGAAGCTGTTGAAGTTGGCCTCGAAATGCTTGATAATCACTCAACGTAAACATTTCGTTACCACAATCAGAAGTTATGTTTCTATTTTCAGAAGTAGTCGTAAAACAGCTTTGATTATTGTTGGCAACGGTAATACCAATGATGATATGGACTTACGTGATCAGATGATAAGCAACATTACTGAAGTAGTTGGATACTGTACTTCTCATAATAGCCTTCTGCCATTTCAGCGTGCTAACTTCACAAGCTTAGCTGTCGATTCATCGTCAAGTACCAACATTGAAGTTTTATCGAAGTTCACAACAAGCCGTGAAAACGTCTTCGAATATGATCGAAATGCTTTGTTTGTTGAAAAAATCAAAATTCTAGCTGCTGAAGCGAAGAGTCTGCTGCCTGCTTGCCATAAGGCTCGTTAATAGGTTTATTGAATCAAACATAAAAATGGTGTTGCAGGAAATCCTTGAACGAAGAGCTTTTGCAGCAAAATTCCTTTCTAAGAACAATGTCCCATCTACCGTACATGATGGTGAAGCTATCTACAGTACTATTGGTGATTACATATCATTTTCATACAATTCATCATTTCCCGGGTTATTTGAAGGTCCATTACGAAAAGAGCGACATGAAAAAGAGTTTGAAACAGGATCTGTATTTGATTTGGCTGGAGAGCCTGTCGATTTAAAAAATGCCGTTGAAAAGAGAAAGGTTTACAAACCAAACTATTAATATCATCTACTTATACGACTTAAAGGGTGAAATCAAAGCAATAGGAGACAACAGCACTGTTACGTCTGATGACAACGGCCTTTCACAGAAGCCCCATCGGCCTATTATACTCTATCGGTTGGACATTTCTTTTCAAGACAACTTACTTCAATAATCTCATTCAGATACTCAAAGAAAGTGAAGAAGTCGCGATTCACACCCGCTCAGTCAGTTTAACTTCTTATTCCTTTCATTCTTTTTTTTTCTTGAAGATTATCGCCTCTGCCAACTACTGTGTCAAGTACGCTTCTAGCGGAGAAGTTATCAACTATTGAAACGACTACGTTGACGACACCTCTTATAACAAACACCTCAACAACAGCCACTACTCTCCCATCAACTACCTTCACAACTACTCAGGGATCATCAATAGCACTCAAAACCACGTATGTTTCTTTTTGGATCCCTGGAGAGAAAAGCTCAGAGCGTTTGCATTCTCATACTTTCACGAGTCTAGTCACATGCCTGCTTCGTTTTGAACGGGCTGCTAATCCAGAATCATCATAACTGTCCTATTTTAGAAAGCCCATAGAACAAACTCCTCCATCGTTTGCTGCATTCTTCCAAGCCAGACCAACAGCATCACAACAAGAATTGGAGCCAACTACCACCTTCAGACCAGGTAGAAGCACATCGAAGGCAAATAAAATTTTGAAAACTTTGAAGGCTGTCTTTTTGATGTCATCCTTGTGTTAGATGCTTCCGGAAGTGTTGAAGAAACGTTTAGACGAGAGAAAGATCTAGCAGCTGGAATAATTGACTTATTCAGAGTAGGCCCAGAGAATGCAAGAGTAAGTTGTTCAGATGTTGAATGAAGCTTATTTGATTCTAAATTTCAAGTTTTCTGTTATAAAATTCGCTGCTTCTCACAAAGTGAAAACGATATGGTCATTGAGTGATATACAAGAACGCTCGCATATACTGCGAAAGTTGGAATCCGTGCCGTTCACATCTGGAACGACAGCTATAGATGCTGCTATCTTAAGAGTATGTTAAGAATGTTATTCAATCATTGATTTTTGATTTTTTTTTTCAGGCAATTGCAGAGTACACAAGCGAGAAGGGAGCTAGACCAGGAATAGCAAAGCCTCTTGTAATTATGTTCACAGATGGCTTCGGCAGCAAATCTATTGATGCTGAGGCCCGCCTTCTGCGCAATCTTGTTCCCAATACGTATGCTGTAGCTATTAACCACTATGTAAGACCATTATCTCAATTTTTATATTTTATTGCGACTGTTATTATGTTGTTTATTTTCAGTATCCCATATCCAGAAAGGAACTTGAGAAAATCACTGGTGATCCCAAGCGTGTTTACACAGATGCCAATATAGGGGAACTTCACGAAGAATTGAAGAAGCTCACTGCAGGATGCGTGATAGACTAACCCAATGACATTCGAGTATAGTCTGTTTTTAATTTATTTTTGAGATTTTTAAAATATATATATATTATATCATTGTATATAGATGTGTATAATCATTTGTTTCTTGTACATACAGAGTGACCATGCTCAATCACCTCTGTGCGATTACCACTTATTCAACCTATTTATTATACATAATAAATAGTTTAACCTTTTGTATTATGAATTATAGTTCTACCTAACATTCAGACAGTAGGGTATAGTGATACAAAGAAGCGAAGGGTAATTATGAAATAGGATTTAGAGACTCCCAAAGTTTACTAGAATATGGCAGATAAGCTTATCATACATAGCTGAAACGACATCTGCAGAGTGCAGTAGTTATCGCTCCATCATTATTAGAAACATGATCAATTATGACTAGAGAAAAAGGACAAGTATAAATAATTTTAAATATATATATATAAATGTATGTATATATTATATATAAGCTATGCTTGCAAGAGATTGTGGGGAAGTATCCGGCAAACGGATACATGAAAAGGGTAAAAGTGAGTGATTGCGAAGCGCGCAACTGATTCCTTAATTAGTATTTTAAGCCCAGATCTGTAATATCCATGTTTAAGACCCCAGATTCATGATCAGAATGCAACCGCTCTGAGCGATACAAAAACTTACTCGAATAGTGGCATCCCAACTGGCACTACAGACTGCTGTTCCATCAGGAGAAGTACGGAGACAGCTAATACGGTTTTCATGGCCGTATAAAACAGCATTACGGGCACATTTCAAAGTATCCCAGACACCAACCCGGTAGTCGCCGTAGCCAGCAAAAAGAATACGTCCTGAACGGATAACCCGCAAATAAAAAGCTGATATATGAAAATTACCGCTCAGACTGAAGTCTACACCATTAACAGGGAAAAGGATAGATTCTTTCTCATAAACGCAAACTTGTCTGTCAGCGCGAAGATCAAAGAGACGACACTATAACATATGAATATTTTGTTTAATGCCTTTGTAATTTACTGAAGCATCATCAGATCCCGTTGCAAAAGCATCACCATTAGGATGAAATCGAACAGTATTAATATCAGCTTCATGACCTTCAAAAGATTGCACACATTGTCCAGTTCTGAATATGTGGCTTATTGAAACCGTTAGTAAAGTGAAAATACCGTATATCCCAAACCAATGAGTGTTTATCTGCACCAGCTGAAATGAAAGTATTACCAGTGTCGCATTTGGGTACATCGATGGCGAATACATCTCCGGTATGACCATGAAAATTTTGAATCATCTACAAAATAAAACAAATAAAAACTGGGTTAACATGAGAAAACACGAACTTGACCGCTCTCAACATCCCAAATAGCACAAGTTGAATCTCCACTTCCAGTAAGAAGTAGATTATCAGAGCGCAAAAACATACAGCAGCTCATATAAGACGTATGGGTAGCTACACTTCTTTTCTTTTGTAGAATATCATCGTCAAACGATAGTGGCACCACACTACATTTATTATCCAAACCTCTGGAAATTGCATAGATAGATTATATATGATCCTAAGAGGCTTACCCGCAAGCAATCATTGTGCTGGTTGGGGAGTAAGCACATGCCATAACCCAGGTTGTGGGCATAGTTAAAGCATGCTCTTTGTTAGTAGTAAAACCATCCCAAACTATGACTTTTCCATCCTTCAAGAATATTATTTGAAAGACGTATGAATAGGCTTCGAACTTGGGATGAGGATACAATATGACGTCTATCCAACGACCAATCCATGCAAAGTACTTTTCCGACATGACCTTTCAGAATCCGTCTTTGTTTAATTCCCATATTTTGAAGTTCAGGCAGTCGTTCAGCTGCCTGTTGAACTGCAAAAGGTTCAATAATAATTAAGAAAAAATATTTTTTTCGAGATATCAAAGAAATCAATCAACTCACTTGGGATATCATTAAGTTTCTGCCGTTCTGCATCTAATTTTTTTCGAAGTTCTTCAGCTTCCTTAGCAAGAAGCTCAATCTGGTCTCCTCTGAAAACAAATGAAATGAGATTATAAAAACAATGCAGGAACAAAATTTTTAACGGCGATCTTCTCACTATCAAACAATTAGCAAAATATATCATCTAAGGCACATTCACACAAGTTCCTGCATCGCTCCAAGCATAATCAACATTTAGACTCAGACCAAGCATTGCGGCAGTAAAATTAGAAAGCTGCCATTACTGCCAGACTCGATGCTACTTATCATATTTAAGAATTGACCAAAAAACGCATATGCATTCCTATTCATACTATCACCCGATGACGTTACGAGAATAACCTACCTCGAAAGTTTTCTGAAGTTTTATATAGTTACATGTTTGCAAACATAATGAAATAACTTGCTGACTTACCTAGAAGCTGGGTCCTGACTACTTGGAGCTGCATTTTCTGGCATTTTGCTAGAAGAAGGTGCTGAAGCTGAAGCGGACGTCGACGCGGCTTCCTTGGACGTCGACGGTTTCTCGTCCGATTCAATATCTGGCATCCGCGCAGGCAACTATGAACTCATCGGCATAATCTGAAGTTAAAGATTTCTCATAATAGACAGCTTTTGGCTTTCAACGTGATGGGAAGTGAGCGAGACACCCGAGTTCATGATGAAAATAACATTATTTTTTCTGCTCCCTGACAAACGAATGCAAATTCGATTAAAGCAAAACGAAGGAAGACAAAAGCTAGAAGCTAATATGTGTTAAACACATAATGATGAATGAAAGATAAAGTTAATGAAAATCGAATAGGACAATGATATGGAGTAGCATTAAAGTGATTAAACGTGAGCTGCAGCCTTAGCTTTCGCTACTGCAAATAAGAAATTGAACGAACTCACAAGACGGCTGTCTTATCAGTACCTTATCGGTCGCTTATTCATTCAATCAAAGGTTAAAAATAACAGAATTAACAAGGGATGGGGAAGTATAAAACTATTTAAAGTAAAAATCCGTATAAATTGAGTAGTTGCAGTACCAACGGCAGCGCAGACGCACCAACACACACAGCAGCAGGGCCGAGCCAATCCAGGCCGCGACGCGGCTGCACGCGTAGCGGTCTTGTGACGTCAAGCCTCGGCAGGGCACAGATCTATCTACTCATTCAGCATTAGCTGCAGCGGCTGAATACTTGCTTCAGTCAATTGCTCATCAGTTCTGTTGAAGATGAAGACGCCATCAAGAAGGTAATGATATGATTGCGTTCTCGATTGCATTAAGCTACCTATCATTCAAATAGTGCGATAGTTGATTTGAGTATGCAAATGCAGATGAGAAAGAAAGTTTGAGTGTTATTATATATATATGAAAGTGATTTTGAAATCTCATACTGTTGAGTCAATGAATAGATATGCTAGCCAGTATGAAAAGTAGGAAATGCATGGCGCAGTTCTAAATTGAATAGACTTTTGACACATCCCTTCGAGTTCCTTGAGCTCGTCTGAATGAGCAGACTTCATGAATTTCGTGTTTCCTGTGTGTGTATGTGTCTGTCTATGTGTGTTATGCTGGTTGATTATATATGTTTCTATTGCTAATTCAAATGATCCATAAACAAAGATAATTAAAGATTTATAGAAGAACACATTATAATTTGAATATTATATATACATTGATGTTTTTCAAATATCGATTATACAGACAAAGAGTGAGATGAGAGAGGATGAAAGAAAAAGATATAAAGAGAGAGAAAGAGAGAGAGAGAGAGAAAGCTATAGAGAGAGAGAACGAATGTTGAAAGAATTGAGAGATTCAAATGCTTTCATAATTTTCATTTGAAATGGAGGAGAAAAAAATGCACAAAAGGTACACACACACACAAATACAATCATTCAGTCTAACTAGAAGTTACTATTGCGATATGGATCAGGTCGAGTGTTAGAATTGGGTGCAGAAGATGAATAATAGCGATCTTCAGCTTGATAAATGATTTGATCACCTGGACGAAGCTGTAAATACCGATTTAAGTTATCGTAGATCAGAAAGGTATATTACATCTGAATGACGAGGTGGAGGAACAGTATCGACGACGACGTGACGAGTGCGAGGAGGCGATGTGTATATTGTTGATACGGGAGGAACTTCTGATGGAAGAGTATGGCTCATCACAGGAACAGCTTGTGGTTGTACCATAGCAGAAGCTAAACTGAACAATAACTCATTTTTATTTAACATTACATTATGGAGATAAGCTATGTGTGAATCTATGTAGATGACCATCAAGGTTATTAAGACAAACCTTTGTTTTGTCGATTCTGACGGCTTTTTCGAAAACCAAACCAGCCGAGGAACCTACAAAAATTGTTATTTTACTGTTCAATTTGTGAGAATCGAACCAAATTCCAAGTAGGCAGATACATGGAGCGCAACAACAAAGTAAAAACAGCAAGCAACCAATGATTATTCCGAAAATTCTCCCAGCATACCAAAAATCGCCATCACTGCAAGAGATGAAGTTGGAGACAATAGAAGATGTAATCATGAAGTTTTAGCTCAACCGCTCGCTGTCGTCTATTATGAAAATGAAATTGTGCATGCAGATTCACGTGAGTAATTCACGTGTATGCTTCCGCATCAGTACGTGTTCTCAAACAAATCAATGAATGAGGTTTGGCGACAACGACGACGACGACAACTGCGATAATGAACAGGCAAGAATCAGCAAATCAACTCATTCAAAAAAGGATTTTGAAGACTTGAAAAAGCTTTCTGTGTGTTGAAGTAACTCACTATCCATAAGAGTCATAGCCACCATAATAACTGCGTTTTGAACGAATCGCAGATTCAGTTGATTGTTCATCTTCGAAGCATGATGCGAGTACAAAGAGCATGCATAGAAGAACAAAAGTTCGCATGTTTAAGCAATATCTGAAGAGAAGGAAGATGAAAGCAAAAAACGAAAAATTTTATCAAATGGTTAGACGAATCGTATGATAGTAGGACATCTTATTGAATGACAACAAGGAGCAAAGAGAGAGAGAGAGAAGAGAGAGAGAGTAAGGAGGGAAGAGAGAAAATCCTACAAAAGACATAAAGTTGTCAAATAGGCGATTTGTTGAAGCAGAAAAAAATATGAAAAGCCTATGAGTAATCATCATATTGTGTGTGTGAGTTTTCTTTCCAGAACACTTGCTTCCACTATGGGCTGGTGAATGATCTTGGTAGAGATTTGAACGATTTGAGAAAATGTAATTTGAAGTCCCATAAAAGCATTAACACAAGTGTGCGGCATGGATTGAAGATGAAAGATGGTATTGCTGACGATCATGACGATCAAGCTGAGAATGACAACGTGAAACTCCATCTTCGAGCTTTTACAAAAATTATTCTGAAAATGGATGGAGGTGGAGATGTTCTTGTCATTTCATTGAATTGTTATTTCGAACTCCGCCTTTCCTTTATGCGATGGTATTCATCCACCGGCATATTTACAATTTCTTCTCTGTATTTGGACAATAAAAATTTGAAGAAAAAAAAGGAGAATGCATACGAGAGATAATTCAAAGATGAGAGAGTGAGAGATGCATGAAGAGCATTCTACCATACTTGAAATGAGACTCTGAGGCTACTCCCATTTCGAACAGGCTCCAGCTCCCCCCTATTCGTTTATGATCGTTCAGACCAGACGACAATACTCATTGCGCTTCATCATTCATCTCTCTATCATTCAAAAAATGTCAATTGTAATAAATGAAATTCCGGAATACAGATGAGACTTAGGTGAATACTCAAGGGACCACTTCAACCTTCCTTTTGTATGACTGGACAAGACTCATCGTTTTTCAACAATTTTTGCCAAATTTGACTCTTCATGCTCCTATCCAATCAAAGCTCGTCTTTTCCGGCTTTTCCTTTTTTCTCCTTTTTTTTTCGAAGAAAACTGGTTCGAATAGCAAAGTGAGAAAACTAGACGAACTTTGATTTGAAAATGAAATTAAGGTTGCAGAGTAACTGAGGGTTAACGTAATCATAGAAATGAAACACGAATGAAGACGCTTCCCACGTGATTACGTGGGAATTACGTGGAAGTATGCGTGAAAATTGATTCACGACAGTTACAAGAAAATCGAATGCAGGACGATCGGTATAGATGTGAGGGATGTAATTCTTAATTAGCTTTTTTAGAAAAGATAGCAACTTCGTTGTCCTTCAGCCTAAGATCGCCCATCATCATGTAGATGTTGATGTGACTTTCAACAACAATGTAAGTTCATGATGATGATGATGATGATGAAACATGCTCCCATATTTATTCAGAACGATGCAAAAATCTATTTAAACCAAGATATGTTCATACTATCTTTGAACTATGAATCAGTGACAGCAAAGAATCTCATAATTGGTTTGTGCCCATTGAAACGCCTAATAGAAGGAAGGCCTTAGGTGATCAAATCATCAAAGTCAACAACGAAACAGTGAATCAGAAGACGTTCTTGAAGAAATTGAAAGTTGGAGAGGTTTACTGTTGAATCACACTTTTAAAACATAATGTTGTTACTTCAGAATGTCTTTCAAGTTCTTCGGCGTCTCAACACATCTCCCATCACACAAGATCGTCTTTCTAAGATTAGAGCACAGCGGATGAACGGTTTCACATACTTCATCATCACGTGTGAAAACGTCTCATCTGAGCTTTCGTTCTGCTTAAGATTGTTGCTTGCAGTCTGAACGGACAACACCTGAACCATTTGGATTGAGTGTCAAACAGATCAAAAACAAAGCTCACGTCATTCGTGTAGGTGCTCTCTGTTCCCATCTCCATTTACACTCTCAAAAAGGTCGACGACAACACTATTGCTTCGAAATACTTTTGTCCTGGCGATTGTTTGTTGGATGTCGATGGCCACTCTATACCTTACGAACCACAAGATTTGGAATTCCATTATAGTGAACTCTACTTCAGGTTCCCTTCAACAATAATCATTTCATTTTCGTTTTTTGTTAAGAGTTGGCAAATTCACAGTTGTCGTGGAAAGAGCTGTTGCGCCTGAAACATTGATTGTTTACAATATTCTTTTCAACTTACTGGTTTGTGTCTTAGGATCTATCTGAGTATCCCTTCTATAGCTTCCCTTCGAACACGACGTACCCATGGGAGAAGATGCAACGGTGATAGGACGGGTAAGCGTTCGCTTACGTTATCGTTATCTTGGACGAATTAGGAAGCAGCGACTATGCATAGAAGAGTTTTCAAAAAAATAAAACCGAAGAGCATCTTGATGAAACCATCGCCACATCAATCAGCTGGCAATATTGAGAATCACCTTAAAATATCGGTAAGGAACTCTGACAGCAAGCACAGACACTCGTCTTCAACAGAACAAAAGCATCGAAACACTGATAGCGAGTGATGTGGAGGATGAAAACGGTTTGAAGAAAGTCCAAA